GCAGCTAGGAGCATCGCCATGCAGCTAGGAGCATCGCCATGCAGCTAGTAGCATCGCCTTGCAGCTAGGAGCATCGCCATGCAGCTCGGAGCATCGCAGTGCAGCTCGTAGCATTGCCATGCAGCTAGGAGCATCGCCATGCAGCTAGGAGCATCGCCATGCAGCTCGGAGCATCGCCATGCAGCTAGGAGCATCGCCATGCAGCTAGGAGCATCGCCATGCAGCTAGGAGCATTGCCATGCAGCTAGGAGCAGCATCGCCATGCAGCTAGGAGCATCGCCATGCAGCTAGGAGCATCGCCATGCAGCTAGGAGCATCGCCATGCAGCTAGGAGCATCGCCATGCAGCTAGGAGCATTGCCATGCAGCTAGGAGCAGCATCGCCATGCAGCTAGGAGCATCGCCATGCAGCTAGGAGCATCGCCATGCAGCTAGGAGCATCGCCATGCAGCTAGTAGCATCGCCTTGCAGCTAGGAGCATCGCCATGCAGCTCGGAGCATCGCCGTGCAGCTCGTAGCATTGCCATGCAGCTAGGAGCATCGCCATGCAGCTAGGAGCATCGCCATGCAGCTCGGAGCATCGCCATGCAGCTAGGAGCATCGCCATGCAAATCGGAGCATCGCCATGCAGCTAGGAGCATTGCCATGCAGCTAGGAGCAGCATCGCCATGCAGCTAGGAGCATCGCCATGCAGCTAGGAGCATCGCCATGCAGCTAGGAGCATCGCCATGCAGCTAGGAGCATCGCCATGCAGCTAGGAGCATTGCCATGCAGCTAGGAGCAGCATCGCCATGCAGCTAGGAGCATCGCCATGCAGCTAGGAGCATCGCCATGCAGCTAGGAGCATCGCCATGCAGCTAGGAGCATCGCCATGCAGCTAGTAGCATCGCCTTGCAGCTAGGAGCATCGCCATGCAGCTCGGAGCATCGCCGTGCAGCTCGTAGCATTGCCATGCAGCTAGGAGCATCGCCATGCAGCTAGGAGCATCGCCATGCAGCTCGGAGCATCGCCATGCAGCTAGGAGCATCGCCATGCAAATCGGAGCATCGCCATGCAGCTAGGAGTATCGCCATGCAGCTAGGAGCATCGCCATGCAGCTAGGAGCATCGCCGTGCAGCTCGAAGCATCGCTATGCAGCTAGTAGCATCGCCATGCAGCAAGTAGCATCGCCATGCAGCAAGGAGCATGGCCATGCATCGGAGCATCCCCATGCAGCTAGTAGCATCGCCATGCAGCTCGGAGCATCGTCATACAGCTAGGAGCATTGCCATGCAGCTAGGAGCATGGCCTTGCAGCTACGAGCATGGCCATGCAGCTAGGAGCATCGCCATGCAGGTAGGAGCATCACCATGTGAGGTTTTGGTGATCACCCAAAAAAGTGTCGACTCACCTCACATCTCCACCCCTTGGTGTCTACTCGCATCACGTCACCCCAAAAAGTGTCGACTCACCTCACATCTCCACCCCATGGTGTCTACTCGCATCACATCACCCAAAAACGTGTCGACTCACCTCACATCTCCATCCCATGGTGTCTACTCGCATCACATCACCCAAAAAAGTGTCGACTCACCTCACATCTCCACCCATGGTGTCTACTCACATCAAGTCACCTAAAAAGGTGTCGACTCACCTCACATCTCCACCCTGCGCTTTTCTGGTCCTATTACCAAGCCAGCAAGGGCGTGGGAGGGTTGCGATCATCATCGGTCATCGGCGATCGCGAATGGAGAGCGCCCGCTGCACTTCCTGCACATGTGCGTATCCCTCCGCATTTTGAGGCTAGAAGCGCTCGTTCCGAGCGTTTTTCTTTCGCCGGGTCACGTGGCTGCACTTGTCTGGTCCTATTACCAAGCCATCAAGGGCTTGGGAGGGTTGCGAGCATCATCGGTCATCGGCGATCGCGAATGGAGAGCGCCCGCTGCACTTCCTGCACATGTGTGTATCCTTCCGCATTTTGGGGCTGGAAGCGCTCGTTCTGAGCGTTTTTCTTCCGCCGGGTCACGTGGCTGCGCTTCTCTAGTCCTATTACCAAGCCAGCAAGGGCGTGGGAGGGTTTCGAGCATCATCGGTCATCGGCGATCGCGAATGGAGAGCGCCCGCTGCACTTCCTGCACATGTGCGTATCCTTCCGCATTTTGAGGCTGGAAGCGCTCGTTCCGAGCGCTTTTCTTCCGCCGAGTCACGCGGCTGAGCTTGTGTGGTCCTATTACCAAGCCAGCAAGGGCATGGGAGGGTTGCGAGCATCATCGGTCATTGGCGATCGCGAATGGAGAGCGCCCGCTGCACTTCCTGCACATGTGCGTATCCTTCCGCATTTTAAGGCTGGAAGCGCTCGTTCCGACTGTTTTTTTTCCGCCGGGTCACGCGGCTGCGCTTGTCTGGTCCTATTACCAAGCAAGCAAGGGCATGGGAGGGTTGCGAGCATCATCGGTCATTGGCGATCGCGAATGGAGAGCGCCCGCTGCACTTCCTGCACATGTGCGTATCCCTCCGCATTTTGAGGCTAGAAGCGCTCGTTCCGAGCGTTTTTCTTCCGCCGGGTCACGTGGCTGCGCTTTTCTGGTCCTATTACCAAGCCAGCAAGGGCGTGGGAGGGTTGCCAGCATCATCGGTTATCGGCGATCGCGAATGGAGAGCGCCCGCTGCACTTCCTGCACATGTGCGTATCCCTCCGCATTTTGAGGCTGGAAGCGCTCGTTTCGAGCATTTTTCTTCCGCCGGGTCACGTGGCTGTGCTTATCTGGTCCTATTACCAAGCCAACAAGGGAATGGGAGGGTTGTCAGCATCATTGGTCATCGGCGATCGCGAATGGAGAGCGCCCGCTGCACTTCCTGCACATGTGACGATCCTTCCGTATTTTGAGGCTGGAAGCGCTCGTTCCGAGCGTTTTTCTTCCGCCGGGTCTTGTGGCTGCGCTTGTCTGGTCCTATTACCAAACCAGCAAGGGCGTGGGAGGGTTGCGAGCATTATTGGTTACCGGCGATCGCGAATGGAGAGCGCCCGCTGCACTTCCTGCACATGTGCGTATCCCTCCGCATTTTGAGGCTGGAAGCGCTCGTTCCTGCACATGGGGCGGGGTGATGGAAAGCAAGAGAATGGGGCGGGGTTATGCAAAGAGGGAGGGCGGGGTGATGGAAAGCGGGAGAATGGGGCGGGGTGATGGAAAGCGGGAGAATGGGGCGGGTGATGGAAAGCGGGAGAATGGGGCGGGGTGAAGCAAAGAGGGAGAATGGGCGGGGTGATGGAAAGCGGGAGAATGGGGCGGGGTGATGGAAAGAGGGAGAATGGGGCGGGGTGATGGAAAGCGGGAGAATGGGGCGGGTGATGGAAAGCGAGAGAATGGGGCGGGGTGATGGAAAGCGGGAGAATGGGGCGGGGTGATGGAAAGCGGGAGAATGGGGCGGGGTGATGGAAAGCGGGAGAATGGGGCGGGGTGATGGAAAGCGGGGAAATCAGGCGGGGTGATGGAAAGCGGGAGAATGGGCGGGATGCTGGAAAGCGGGAGAATGGGCCGGGGTGATGGAAAGCGGGAGAATGGGGCGGGGTGCTGGAAAGCGGGAGAATGGGGTGGGGTGATGGAAAGCGGGAGAATGGGGCGGGGTGACGGAAAGCGGGAGAATGGGGCGGGGTTATGGAAAGAGGGAGAATGGGGCGGGGTGATGGAAAGCGGGAGAATGGGGTGGTGTGATGGAAAGAGGGAGAATGGGGCGTGGTGATGGAAAGCGGGAGAATGGGGCGGGGTGATGGATAGAGGGAGAATGGGGCGAGGTGATGGAAAGAGGGAGAATGTGGCGGGTTGATGGAGAAAGGGAGAATGGGGTGGGGTGATGGAAAGCGGGAGAATGGGGCGGGGTGATGGAAAGTAGGAGAATGGGGCGGGGTGATGGAAAGCGGGAGAATGGGGCGGGGTGCTGGAAAGCGGGAGAATGGGGCGGGGTGCTGGAAAGCGGGAGAATGGGGTGGGGTGATGGAAAGCGGGAGAATGGGGCGGGGTGACGGAAAGCGGGAGAATGGGGCGGGGTTATGGAAAGAGGGAGAATGGGGCGGGGTGATGGAAAGCGGGAGAATGGGGTGGTGTGATGGAAAGAGGGAGAATGGGGCGTGGTGATGGAAAGCGGGAGAATGGGGCGGGGTGATGGATAGAGGGAGAATGGGGCGAGGTGATGGAAAGAGGGAGAATGTGGCGGATTGATGGAGAAAGGGAGAATGGGGTGGGGTGATGGAAAGCGGGAGAATGGGGCGGGGTGATGGAAAGTAGGAGAATGGGGCGGGGTGATGGAAAGCGGGAGAATGGGCGGGTGATGGAAAGCGGGAGAATGGGGCGGGGTGATGGAAAGAGGGAGAATGGGGCGGGGTGATGAAAAGCGGGAGAATGGGGCGGGGTGATGGAAAGCGGGAGAATTGGGCGGGGTGATGGAAAGCGGGAGAAGGGCGGGGTGATGGAAAGAGGGAGAATGGGGCGGGGTGCAGGAAAGCGGGAGAATGGGGCGGGGTGATGGAAAGCGGGAGAATGGGGCGGGGTGCTGGAAAGCGGGAGAATGGGGTGGGGTGATGGAAAGCGGGAGAATGGGGCGGGGTGACGGAAAACGGGAGAATGGGGCGGGGTTATGGAAAGAGGGAGAATGGGGCGGGGTGATGGAAAGCGGGAGAATGGGGTGGTGTGATGGAAAGAGGGAGAATGGGGCGTGGTGATGGAAAGCGGGAGAATGGGGCAGGGTGATGGATAGAGGGAGAATGGGGCGAGGTGATGGAAAGACGGAGAATGTGGCGGGTTGATGGAGAAAGGGAGAATGGGGTGGGGTGATGGAAAGCGGGAGAATGGGGCGGGGTGATGGAAAGTAGGAGAATGGGGCGGGGTGATGGAAAGCGGGAGAATGGGGCGGGGTGCTGGAAAGCGGGAGAATGGGGCGGGGTGCTGGAAAGCGGGAGAATGGGGTGGGGTGATGGAAAGCGGGAGAATGGGGCGGGGTGACGGAAAGCGGGAGAATGGGGTGGGGTTATGGAAAGAGGGAGAATGGGGCGGGGTGATGGAAAGCGGGAGAATGGGGTGGTGTGATGGAAAGAGGGAGAATGGGGCGTGGTGATGGAAAGCGGGAGAATGGGGCGGGGTGATGGATAGAGGGAGAATGGGGCGAGGTGATGGAAAGAGGGAGAATGTGGCGGGTTGATGGAGAAAGGGAGAATGGGGTGGGGTGATGGAAAGCGGGAGAATGGGGCGGGGTGATGGAAAGTAGGAGAATGGGGCGGGGTGATGGAAAGCGGGAGAATGGGCGGGTGATGGAAAGCGGGAGAATGGGGCGGGGTGATGGAAAGAGGGAGAATGGGGCGGGGTGATGAAAAGCGGGAGAATGGGGCGGGGTGATGGAAAGCGGGAGAATTGGGCGGGGTGATGGAAAGCGGGAGAAGGGCGGGGTGATGGAAAGAGGGAGAATGGGGCGGGGTGCAGGAAAGCGGGAGAATGGGGCGGGGTGATGGAAAGCGGGAGAATGGTGCGGGGTGCTGGAAATCAGGAGAATGGGGCGGGGTGATGGAAAGCGGGAGAATGCGGCGGGGTGATGGAAAGCGGGAGAATGGGGCGGGGTTATGGAAAGCGGGAGAATGGGGTGGGGATATGGAAAGAGGGAGAATGGGGCGGGGTGATGGAAAGAGGGAGAATGGGGCGGGGTGATGGAAAGAGGGAGAATGGGGTGGGGTGATGGAAAGCGGGAGAATGGGGCAGGGTGATGGAAAGAGGGAGAATGGGGCGGGGTGATGGAAAGAGGGAGAATGGGGCGGTGTGATGGAAAGAGGGAGAATGGGGCGGGGTGATGGAAAGCGAGAGAATGGGGCGGGGTGCTGGAAAGCGGGAGAATGGGGCGGGGTGATGGAAAGCGGGAGATGGGGCGGAGTGATGGAAAGCGGGAGAATGAGGCGGGGTTATGGAAAGAGGGAGAATGGGGTGGGGTGATGGAAAGAGGGAGAATGGGGCGGGGTGATGGAAAGAGGGAGAATGGGGCAGGGTGATGGAAAGAGGGAGAATGGGGCGGGGTGATGGAAAGAGGGAGAATGGGGCGGGGTGATGGAAAGCGGGAGAATGGGGCGGGGTGATGGAAAGCGGGAGAATGGGGCGGGTGATAGAAAGAGGGAGAATAGGGCAGGGTGATGGAAAGAGGGAGAATGGGGCGGGGCGATGGAAAGCGGGAGAATGGGGCGGGGTGATGGAAAGCGGGAGAATGGGGCGGGGTGATGGAAAGCGGGAGAATGGGGCGGGGTGATGGAAAGAGGGAGAATGGGGCGGGGTGATGGAAGGAGGGAGAATGGGGCGGGGTGATGGAAGGACGGAGAATGGGGCGGGGTAATGGAAAGCGGGAGAATGGGGCGGGGTGATGGAAAGCGGGAGAATGGGGCGGGGTGATGGAAAGCGGGAGAATGGGGCGGGGTGATGGAAAGCGGGAGAATGGGGCGGGGTGATGGAAAGTGGGAGAATGGGGCGGGGTGATGGAAAGCGGGAGAATGGGGCGAGGTGATGGAAGGAGGGAGAATGGGGCGGGGTGATGGAAGGATGGAGAATGGGGCGGGGTGATGGAAAGAGGGAGAATGGGGCGGGGTGATGGAAAGCGGGAGAATGGGGCGGGGTGATGGAAAGCGGGAGAATGGGGCGGGATGATGGAAAGCGGGAGAATGGGGCGGGGTGATGGAAAGCGGGAGAATGAGGCGGGGTGATGGAAAGCGGGAGAATTGGGCGGGGTGATGGAAAGCGGGAGAATTGGGTGGGGTGATGGAAAGCGGGAGAATGGGGCGGGGTGATGGAAAGCGGGAGAATGGGGCGGGGTGATGGAAAGCGGGAGAATGGGGCAGGTTGATGGAAAGCGGGAGAATGGGGCGGGGTGATGGAAAGCGGGAGAATGGGGCGGGGTGATGGAAAGCGGAAGAATGGGTCGGGGAGATGGAAAGCGGGAGAATGGGGCGGGGTGATGGAAAGCGGGAGAATGGGGCGGGGTGATGGAAAGCGGGAGAATGGGGCGGGGTGATGGAAAGTGGGAGAATGGGGCGGGGTGATGGAAGGAGGGAAAATGGGGCGGGGTGATGGAAGGAGGGAGAATGGGGCGGGGTGATGGAAAGAGGGAGATCGCCATGCAGCTAGGAGCATCGCCATGCAACAAGTAGCATCACCTTGCAGGTAGGAGCATCGCCATGCAGCTAGGAGCATCACCACGCAGCTAGGAGCACCGCCATGCAGCTAGGAGCATCGCCATGCAGCTAGGAGCTTCGCCATGCAGCTAGGAGCATCGTCATGCAGCTAGGAGCATCGCCTTGCAGCTAGGAGCTTCGCCATGCAGATCGTAGCATCGCCATGCAGCTAGGAGCATCGCCATGCAGCTAAGAGCATCGCCATGCAGCTAGGAGCATCGCCAGCAGCTAGGAGCAGCATCGCCATGCAGCTAGGAGCAGCATCGCCATGCAGCTAGGAGCATCGCCATGCAGCTCGGGGCATCGCCATGCAGCTAGGAGCATCGCCATGCAGCAAGTAGCATCACCTTGCAGCTAGGAGCATCGCCATGCAGCTAGGAGCATCGCCACGCAGCTAGGAGCACCACCATGCAGCTAGGAGCATCGCCATGCAGCTAGGAGCATAGCCATGCAGCTAGGAGCATCGCCATGCAGCTAGGAGCATCGCCTTGCAGCTAGGAGCATCGTCTTGCAACTAGGAGCATTGCCATGCAGCTACGAGCATCGCCATGCATCTAGGAGCATCGCCATGCAGCTAGGAGCATCGCCATGCAGCTAGGAGCTTCGCCATGCAGATGGTAGCATCACCATGCAGCTAGGAGCATCGCCATGCAGCTAGGAGCATCGCCATGCAGCTAGGAGCATTGCCAGCAGCTAGGAGCATTGCCAGCAGCTAGGAGCATTGCCAGCAGCTAGGAGCAGCATCGCCATGCAGCTAGGAGCATCGCCATGCAGCTAGGAGCATCACCATGCAGCTAGGAGCATCAGCATGCAGCTAGGAGCATTGCCATGCAGCTAGGAGCATCGCCATGCAGCTAGGAGCATCGCCTTGCAGCTAGGAGCATCGCCATGCAGCTCGGAGCATCGCCGTGCAGCTCGTAGCATTGCCATGCAGCTAGGAGCATCGCCATGCAGCTAGGAGCATCGCCATGCAGCTCGGAGCATCGCCTTGCAGCTAGGAGCATCGCCATGCAGCTCGGAGCATCGCCGTGCAGCTCGTAGCATTGCCATGCAGCTAGGAGCATCGCCATGCAGCTAGGAGCATCGCCATGCAGCTCGGAGCATCGCCATGCAGCTAGGAGCATTGCCATGCAAATCGGAGCATTGCCATGCAGCTAGGAGTATTGCCATGCAGCTAGGAGCATCGCCATGTAGCTAGGAGCATCGCCGTGCAGCTCGAAGCATCGCTATGCAGCTAGTAGCATCGCCATGCAGCAAGTAGCATCGCCATGCAGCAAGGAGCATCGCCATGCATCGGAGCATCCCCATGCAGCTAGTAGCATCGCCATGCAGCTCGGAGCATCGTCATACAGCTAGGAGCATTGCCATGCAGCTAGGAGCATGGCCTTGCAGCTAGGAGCATGGCCATGCAGCTAGGAGCATCGCCATGCAGGTAGGAGCATCACCATGTGAGGTTTTGGTGATCACCCAAAAAAGTGTCGACTCACCTCACATCTCCACCCCTTGGTGTCTACTCGCATCACGTCACCCCAAAAAGTGTCGACTCACCTCACATCTCCACCCCATGGTGTCTACTCGCATCACATCACCCAAAAACGTGTCGACTCACCTCACATCTCCATCCCATGGTGTCTACTCGCATCACATCACCCAAAAAAGTGTCGACTGTTGGTGCAACCCTACGGTTTGCACTCGGCTTGTTGTCCGTGTGCGTGAATGTGTGTGTGTATGGAATGGTATGAGGGCATGGGATAATATATATTTCATGCTTATAATTGTGTGTGAATGTTGAGTCATGATGTCGAGTGTGTGTGTCGAGTCAATAGCGAGTTATCGCTAGACGCGTGTTACGCGGTCGTTTGTGTCTCGCGCGCGGTTTCTATTTTGTCGTGCGCAGTTTCCATTTTGTCATGTGTCGAACGTTCGGCGTGTCGCAGGTGTGTGCAGCAGACCCATCAAGAACTCAAGGACGAGTTTGTGATGAAGAGCCCGAGCCTTGGTGTCAAGCCTCAAGTGATTTCGAAGCTCGCCGAAAGGGTACACCTCAAGATATTGAAGATAGTTACATTACTTTGTGTAGTGTAACATTTCACTTGGTGTAGGCCCTAGTGAAGGGTAGTTTCGAGACCCTTCGTGGTTGGGGACAGTGTGGCACTGTTCCACATCACTGTACCTCGGCTCTTGGGGTTTGTAGGAGCTGGGAGTCATTCCCAACTCGTAACTCTTCCTATCTTGTGTTCTAAGACTATAGTGGCTGCCATAGTACCGTTCGTTCAAACCGACGCTGTGTCGTCAATTCTTTATCAAATCGTGCAATCTAAATTGGTAATTGTAGATGACGTGAAGACGCTCCAGATCCAATTTGAATCAAATCATTTGCAGCTGTGAGCAGAACGCTATCAACGTTTGAAGCCGCTGTGCAGAAATCCGTCTGTGCTCTCTATCTTTCGTTTTAGGCACATTCAAGCCTATTGTGACTATAACAAGTGGTATCAGAGCCCCTTGGAGCAGTTTCGACAATGTCTGGACCTGAGGAAAGGGGTGGCAGAGGTGCTGGTGGCAGTGGAGAAGCTCAAGCTCAAGGCCAACCCCGTGATTCAGCCATGGCGCCCATGCAACCAAGTCTTGGCCCACCTAGGGATGAGCCTAGGGTGTTTGGGCTTGACAAGTTCAACGGTGACAACTTTGCTGAATGGTCCTTCAAGATGGAGAACATCTTTGACCACTATGACCTGCTGGAGGTGATGGAAGGAACGGAGAAGCGCCCCGAGAACGACCCGGAGAAGAGCCCGTGGGTGCGGAAGAGCGCACAAGGCTATCTCTTACTTGGGCAAGCGTTGGGGAGCAGTCAGATCCATCACATCAAGCCATTCCAGCGTGAACCAGAGAAAGGACCAAAGGCATGGGCTGCTCTCAAGGGTGTACATGCTCCTGCAACAGCGGCGGTAGCGGTGGTGTTGGAACGGCAAATGGCGGCACTACGAATTGAAGAAAACGAAGCGGTTGAAGAAGGGGTGCAGAAATTCTTCGACTTGTTGACGCGGCTTGAGGGAGCTGATTTGAACTACAGTGAGCTCCAAAAGAAGACCAAGTTGCTGGCCTTACTCCCAGAGTCATGGTCCTCGCTCATCATCAACCTTAATCGCGACTCGCCCCGCCTCTCGCTTGAAGACGTGAAGCGAGCTATCCTTCAAGAGGATTTCCGCCGCCGTGAGTTGGCGAGTGCGGATGGCGCTGGGGCAGCGAGCATCGGCCGTGGATATGGTCGAGGAAGAGGCAGAGGACGAGGGGGAGGAAGGTTTGGTGGCAGCAACTTCGGCGGAGGCCGCAGGAGTGGCGGTTACGGCAGCGACGACAAGAGCTACGGACGCGGTCGCGGCCGATTCGACGTCGAGTGTCACTATTGCCACAAGAGCGGACACATGTGGCGCGACTGCTACAAACTCCCTGATGGTTGGACCCCTGCTCAAGGCCAAGAGGGTAGAGGAGCAGGAGGAGGGAGAGGACGAGGCCGTGGAGGCCGTGGCGGTCGCGGTGGCGGAGCTGCAAACATGAAGAGCGGAGACAACGACAAGGACCCGAGCGACGATCGATACCCGGGTCTATTCTACTTCGTGTCGACGCAAGTACCGGCTGGTCCAGAGAAGGATGAAGGCTTTGAGGAGCCAGCAGATGTGGGGAAGGTGACCCTACACCCCCTGGACTATTGGGTGATTGATAGTGGCGCTACCTATAGCATGACACCTCGCCCGGACTTGCTCACCGAACTCGAGCCGTCACCGGTGAAGCATGTCACATCGGCTTTGGGGCAGCGAGCAGAGGTGAAAGGCATGGGCAAGGCCATGTTCAAGGGTGCTGATGGGAAGATGGTGGGCCTCAAGAACGTGCTTTGGGTGCCCAGCCTTGCTGCAAACCTGATTTCCGTGCGGCGGTTGGCAAAGGCCGGCATGGACACGAACTCGAAGGGAGCCAAGACCTACACCGCAAGGCTTGGCGATCGAATTCTTTGGGACCTTCATGAGGACAGGGATGTCTACAACGAGATGTGGCAGATCCCAGTGGTCCCTATGCCTAAGGAGAGGCAAGTGGCAGCAAGCATCAGCACCAAGGATGGAGCGGTCGGTAGCGACGATGGCGCGAACGGTCGCGCTAAGGAGAATGAGCTCAAGAAGAGCAAACCTGGAGGGACCAGCAAGTTCAGTGAACCTAAGGAGAGTGGTGCAGCAACCAAGGAGCAGCAAAAGGGTGAGGAGAACCCAGAGGCAGCAGCGGAGGAGGACTACGGAGAGAGTATGTGGGGCGCTATTGCGAGCGCGGCATTCTCCAATCCAACTTCGGCTACGGGGGAGTGTGATTGGCTCACCTTGCATCGGCGCATGGGGCATGTGGCCCTGCCCATCTTGCAGCAGCTAGTGAAGAATGAGATGGTTGCTGGCATACGTGTGAAGGGGGAGCCCGATGAGGTGCTTGGCTGCCCGACGTGCATTCAAGCCAAGTTCACCCGGTTTCCGTTCCCTAGTTCGGAGGCAACGGCAAAGGCACCGCTTGATGAGGTGGTGATGGACGTGGTGGGCCCCCTGAAGCTTGGAGCTGCTGGAGCTGAGTATTTTCTCACCATTGTCGACGTCTACACCCGCATGACTTGGGTGTACGTGCTGGCCAAGAAGAGCGACGTGGCTGAAACGTTGAAGACGGATTGGTTCCCGATGGTGGAGCGGCAACAAGACCGTCTAGTCAAGTCAATCCGCACCGATCGAGGGGGAGAGTTCCTGAGCAAGGAGTTTGGGTTGTGGCTGAAGAAGAATGGTATTCGGCACTCCCTCACCATGCCATACTCCCCTGCAATGAACGGCATCGCCGAGCGAGCGAACCGCACAATCACGGAGGCGGCACGCGGGTTGCTCATTGAAGCCGGGCTACCCGACTATTTCTGGCCTGATGCGGTGCGGAGCGCGTGTGTGGCCAAGAACAGAGCCTTGACTCATGTGGGAGCAGACAAATGGGTGCCCTATGTGGAGTGGCTAGGAAGGAAGCCAAAGGTGGATATGCTTCGGGTGTTCGGGTGCATGTGCATGGCGCTCGTGCCTAAGCATCTTCGGCACAACAAGCTTGGTGCCAAGGCGGTGTGGGCCGTGCACTTGGGCATGGCTCAAAACAGCAAGGGATGGCTTCTTTGGGACCCATTCACCAAGAAGTTCTTGGTGAGCAGGGACTGCAAGTTCATGGAGAACTTCATGTACAAGGATTGGAAGGCGGAGAATGAGGCGAAGATAGGCGTGCGGTTTGGGGAGGTGAAGAGTTCCGGTTTGGAGCATGTGGAGCTGCCTTTGGAACTGAGCAGCGGCAGCACAACCACAAGGCAATCCTCCCTTGTGAATGGGGGAGAGGAGGCCAATGATGCAGAGGAAGAAGAGGAGGAGGTGCAGCAAGTGAGCGAGCGTGCACCGTCACTTCCTTCCCGTACTACGAGTGCTCCACGGATTCGAGCCACACCGCAGCAACGCCAAGGCCTTCAAGTCCCTGCAGCTGAGGAGGAAGGAAGGGGGAAGAGGAGAGTTCAACCCCCTAATAGGCTGACCTATGATGCGCCGGGAAAGCAGGGCAAGACAGCCCTGGCCGGAGCGGCAATGATGGTCGGAGACGACGAGGAGAGTGACTACGAGGAGTGTGCCTTCGCGTTCTTCTCTCCGGTGGAGATGCCGGGAGAACCAGCAACTCTCAAGGATGCTTTGGAGAGTAGTGATGCTGAGGAGTGGAAGAAGGCCATGGAGAGTGAGCTGAAGAGCATCGAGGAGAATGACACGTTTGAATTGGTGGAGCTACCGGAGGGGCGTACGGCGATAACGTCCAAGTGGCTCTTCAAAATCAAGTCGGATGCCGACGGCAAGATCGAGCGCTACAAGTCTAGGCTTGTAGCCAAGGGGTACCAGCAGAAGGAGAAGGTGGACTTCAAGGAGCTGTTTGCCCCTGTGGTGAAGCCGACGACGCTGCGAACCCTATTCGCGGGAGCCGCCATCAAAGGATGGGTAGTAAAGCAAATGGACATCGTAACGGCATTCCTTAACGGCATCCTTGAGGAGGAGATTTTTATGGCGCAGCCAGAGGGGTTTGATGATGGTAGTGGCAGAGTGTGGAAGCTGAAGAAGGCCCTCTATGGGCTGAAGCAGGCCCCTAGGCAATGGTACATGAAGCTGCGCGAAGTGTTGGAGGGGATCGGCTTCACTCCCTCAACGGCCGATCACTCCTTGTTCATGCTTGGCGAGGGGGAGCAGAGGAGTTTCATGGTGGTTTATGTGGATGACATCCTCATTTTCTCACCCTCTTCTGACCTTGTGAAGGAGGTGATGCTGAAGCTTCAAGACAAGTTCAAGTGCAAGGCCCTTGGTGACGTGAGCTTCTATCTTGGGCTCCACATCGAACGAGATGTGGAGAAGCGGTGCATGCGGGTGCATCAACGAAAGTACCTGGAGGCATTGGCTGCCAACTTTGGGCAGAGTGAAGGCCATGTGGCTACACCCTTTCCCTCTGGGTTCAAGTGTGTGAAGGGACCAGAGGAGGAGAGCGTTGGTGAAGAGGAGAGGCGTCGATTTCACTCGTTGGTGGGCAGCCTCATGTATGCGGCGGTAAACACCCGACCGGACGTCGCGTTTGCTACCGGGCAGCTGGCTAGGGTTGTGCAATGCCCTAATGAGGAGCAGGTAGCAGCTGGAATGAGGGTGGCCAAGTATCTTGGCCAAACACCGACCGTTGGGCTGCAATACTCGGCGGTGGCACAAAGGCGCCAAAAGGGCGCGGATGGTGTTGAACCCGGGCGTTTGTTCCTCACCGCCTACTCGGATGCTTCATATGCATCAGAACCAGAGGACATGACAAGTGTGGGAGGCTTCATATGCTGTGTTGGTGGAGGCCCAACTGCTTGGGAGAGCAAGAAGCAGGTTGACCAAGCTTTGAGCTCGGTGGAGTCCGAGTACATGGCACTCTTCCGTGCCGTACGGGAGATTGTGTGGCAGCGGCGTTTATTGGCTGAATTGGGGGAGGAGCAGCAAGGACCTACCCCACTGTACTGTGACAGCCAGGGTGCCATTGCTCTTGCTAAGAACCCTGTGTTGCATGGACTCACGAAGCACATGAGGGTGAAGTGGCATTGGACGAGGAGCATGGTAACCGCGGGTGAAGTTGAGTTGCGCTACGTGAAGACCACGGGGCAGCCGGCTGACATGATGACCAAGAGGCTGGTGGAGCAGCAGCATTGGAAGTGTTGCAAGCTGGCTGGGATGGCTCTGAACTGAGAGAGCAACATATCCTAAGGCCAACAATCCGAGGGGGAGTTTGTTGGTGCAACCCTACGGTTTGCACTCGGCTTGTTGTCCGTGTGCGTGAATGTGTGTGTGTATGGAATGGTATGAGGGCATGGGATAATATATATTTCATGCTTATAATTGTGTGTGAATGTTGAGTCATGATGTCGAGTGTGTGTGTCGAGTCAATAGCGAGTTATCGCTAGACGCGTGTTACGCGGTCGTTTGTGTCTCGCGCGCGGTTTCTATTTTGTCGTGCGCGGTTTCTATTTTGTCCTGTGTCGAACGTTCGGCGTGTCGCAGGTGTGTGCAGCAGACCCATCAAGAACTCAAGGATGAGTTTGTGATGAAGAGCCCGAGCCTTGGTGTCAAGCCTCAAGTGATTTCGAAGCTCGCCAAAAGGGTACACCTCAAGATATTGAAGATAGTTACATTACTTTGTGTAGTGTAACATTTCACTTGGTGTAGGCCCTAGTGAAGGGTAGTTTCGAGACCCTTCGTGGTTGGGGACAGTGTGGCACTGTTCCACATCACTGTACCTCGGCTCTTGGGGTTTGTAGGAGCTGGGAGTCATTCCCAACTCGTAACTCTTCCTATCTTGTGTTCTAAGACTATAGTGGCTGCCATAGTACCGTTCGTTCAAACCGACGCTGTGTCGTCAATTCTTTATCAAATCGTGCAATCTAAATTGGTAATTGTAGATGACGTGAAGACGCTCCAGATCCAATTTGAATCAAGTCATTTGCAGCTGTGAGCAGAACGCTATCAACGTTTGAAGCCGCTGTGCAAAAATCCGTCTGTGCTCTCTATCTTTCGTTTTAGGCACATTCAAGCCTATTGTGACTATAACATCGACTCACCTCACATCTCCACCCATGGTGTCTACTCACATCAAGTCACCTAAAAAGGTGTCGACTCATCTCACATCTCCACCCCATGGTGTCTACTAGCATCACACCATCCGAAAAAGTGTCGACTCACCTCACATCTCCACCCCATGGTGTTTACTCTCATCAAGTCACCCAAAAAAGTGTTGACTCACCTCACATCTCCACCCCATGGTGTCTACTCGCATCAGGTCAACCGAAAAAGTGTCGACTCACCTCACATGTCCACCACATGGTGTTTACTCATATCACGTCACCCAAAAAAGCGTCGACTGACCTCACATCTCCACCCCATGGTGTCGCGCTCTCACGCACTCGCGCTCTCGGGCACACGTGCTCTCGCGCATTTAATAATCTATTTTCTTAATTACGGTTTGCGTCGTGTGTCGTTGTTGCGTTGTGCCATAGCGTCGTTGCGCTGTTGCGATTTATTTTTCATCATCTTATATTGTTGTGGAGAAAAAAAAATATATTTACAACCTTCTAGTTATAGTGTTATTGTTCATTGAACGATCTAGTTTTTAAATTTCCTAATTAGTCTACTAATATCGTGTACATTGTGAGCATCGTGAGCATCGTGACCATCGTGGCAAGGTGACATCGTGAGCATTGTGACATCGTGACATCGTGACATCGTGAGCATCGTGACATTGTCAGCATCGTGACATTGTCAGCATCGTGACATCGTGAGCATCGTGACATCGTGACATCGTGAGCATCGTGACATCCTGAGCATCGTGACATCGTTAGCATCGTGACATCGTGGCATAGTGACATCGTGAGCATCATGAGCATCGCCATGTGAGGTTTTGGCGATCACCCTAAAAAGTGTCGACCCACCTCACATCTCCACCCCATGGTGTCTACTCGCATCACGTCACCCAAAAAAGTGTCGACTCACCTCACATCTCCACCGCACGATGTCTACTCGTATCACATCACCCAAAAAAGTGTCGACCCACCTCACATCTCCATCCCATGGTGTCTACTCGCATCAGTCACCCAAAAAAGTGTCGACTCACCTCACATCTCCACCCCATGGTGTCTACTCGCATCACATCACCCAAAAAAGTGTCGAATCACCTCACATCTCCACCCATGGTGTCTACTCACATCAAGTCACCCAAAAAGGTGTCGACCCACCTCACATCTCCACCCCATGGTGTCTACTCGCATCACATCACCCAAAAAGTGTCGACTCACCTCACATCTCCACCCCATGGTGTCGCGCTCTCCCGCACTCGCGCTCTGGCGCAAACGCGCTCTCGCTCAATTAATAATATATTTTCTAACTTACGGTTTGCGCCGTGTGTCGTTGCTGCGTTGCGCCATAGCGTCGTTGCGCTGTTGCAATTTATTTTTCATTATCTTATATTGTTGTGAAGAAATTAAAATATCTTTACAACCTTTAGACCATTCTAGTTATAGTATTACTGTTGATTGAAGAATCTAGCTTAGAAAGAGTGAGAATGGGGCGGGGTGATGGAAACAGGGAGACTGGGGCGGGGTGATGGAAAGAGGGAGAATGGGGCGGGGTGATGGAAAACGGGAGAATGGGGCGGGGTGATGGAAAGCGGGAGAATGGGGCGGGGTGATGGAAAGAGGGAGAATGGGGCGGGGTGATGGAAAGCTGGAGAATGGGGCGGGGTGATGGAAAGAGGGAGAATGGGGCGGGGTGATGGAAAGAGGGAGAATGGGGCGGGGTGATGGAAAGCGGGAGAAATGGGCGGGGTGATGGAAAGCTGGAGAATGGGGCGGGGTGATGGAAAGCTGGAGAATGGGGCGGGGTGATGGAAAGCTAGAGAATGGGGCGGGGTGATGGAAAGAGGGAAAATGGGGCGGGATGTCGGAAAGCGGGAGAATGGGGCGGGGTGACGGAAAGCGGGAGAATGGGGCGGGGTGACGGAAAGCGGGAGAATGGGGCGGGGTGACGGAAAGCGGGAGAATGGGGCGGGGTGACGGAAAGCGGGAGAATGGGGCGGGGTGACGGAAAGCGGGAGAATGGGGCGGGGTGACGGAAAGCGGGAGAATGGGGCGGGGTGACGGAAAGCGGGAGAATGGGGCGGGGTGATGGAAAGCGGGAGAATGGGGCGGGGTGACGGAAAGCGGGAGAATGGGGCGGGGTGACTGAAAGCAGGAGAATGGGGCAGGGTGATGGAAAGCGGGAGAATGGGGCGGGGTGATGGAAAGCGGGAGAATGGGGCGGGGTGATGGAAAGAGGGAGAATGGGGCAAGGTGATGGAAAGAGGGAGAATGGGGCGGGGTGATAGAAAGGGAGAGAATGGGGCGTGGTGTTGGAAAGAGGGAGAATGGGGCGGAGTGATGGAAAGAGGGAGAATGGGGTAGGGTGATGGAAAGAGGGAGAATGGGGCGGGGTGATGGAAAGCGGGAGAATGGGGCGGGGTGATGGAAAGCGGGAGAATGGGGCGGGGTGATGGAAAGAGGGAGAATGGGGCGGGGTGATGGAAAGAGGGAGAATGGGGCGGGGTGATGGAAAGAGGGAGAATGGGGCGGGGAGGGTTTGGGGTTTAGGGTTTAGGGTGACATCGTGAGCATCGTGACATTGTGAGTATCGTGACATCGTGAGCATCGTGACATCGTGACATCGAAAGCATCGTGACATCGTGACATCGTGAGCATCGTGACATCGTTAGCATCGTGACATCGTGAGCATCGTGACATCGTGACATCGTGAGTATCGTGACATCGTGAGCATCGTGACTAGCATCGTGACTATCGTGAGCATCGTGACCATCGTGACATCGTGAGCATCGTGACATCGTGAGCATCGTGATTAAAGATAAGAAAATGAATAAAATTCATAAACTACAACATAGAAGGTGTAAGTAGTAATCAAATAACTTTCTCCATGCAGATCGTAGCATCGCCATGCAGCTAGGAGCATCGCCATGCAGCTAGAAGCATTGCCATGCAGCTAGGAGCATCGCCAGCAGCTAGGAGCAGCATCGCCATGCAGCTAGGAGCATCGCCATGCAGCTAGGAGCATCGTTATGCAGCTAGGAGCATTGCCATGCAGCTAGGAGCATCACCATGCAGCTAGGAGCATCGCCTTGCAGCTAGGAGCATCGCCATGCAGCTCGGAGCATCGGCGCAGCTCGTAGCATTGCCATGCAGCTAGGAGCATCGCCATGAAGCTAGGAGCATCGCCATGCAGCTCGGAGCATCGCCATGCAGCTAGGAGCATCGCCATGCAGATCGGAGCATCGCCATGCAGCTAGAAGTATCGCCATACAGCTAGGAGCATCGCCGTGCAGCTCGAAGCATCGCTATGCAGCTAGTAGCATCGCTATGCAGCAAGTAGCATCGCCATGCAGCTAGGAGCATCGCCATGCATCGGAGCATCCCCATGCAGTTAGTAGCATCGCAATGCAGCTCGGAGCATCGTCATGTAGCTAGGAGCATCGCCATGCAGCTAGGAGCATGGCCTTGCAGCTAGGAGCATGGCCATGCAGCTAGGAGCATGGCCGTGGAGCTAGGAGCATCGCCATGCAGGTAGGAGCATCACCATGTGAGGTTTTGGCGATCACCCAAATAAGTGTCGACTCACCTCACATCTCCACCCCATGGTGTCTACTCGCATCACATCACCCAAAAACGTGTCGACTCACCTCACATCTCCACCCATGGTGTCTACTCGCATCACATCACCCCAAAAAGTGTCGACTCACCTCACATCTCCACCCATGGTGTCTACTCACATTAAGTCACCTAAAAATGTGTCGACTCACCTCACATCTCCACCCCATGGTGTCTACTAGCATCACACCACCCGAAAAAAGTGTCGACTCACCTCACATCTCCACCCCATGGTGTCTACTCGCATCAAGTCACCCAAAAAAGTGTCGACTCACCTTACATCTCCACCCCATGGTGTCTACTTGCATTTGGTAAACCAAAAAAGTGTCGACTCACCTCACATGTCCACCGCATGGTGTTTACTCACATCACGTCACCCAAAAAATCGTCGACTCACCTCACATCTCCACCCCATGGTGTCGCGCTCTCACGCACTCGCAATCTTGCGCACACGCGCTCTCGCACATTTAAGAATCTTTTTTCTTAATTACGGTTTGCGCCGTGTGTCGTTGCTGCGTTGTGCCATAGCGTCGTTCCGCTGTTGCGATTTATTTTTCATTATCTTCTATTGTTGTGGAGAAATAAAAATATATTTACAACCTTTAGACCATTCTAGTTATAGTATTATTGTTCATTAAACAATCCAGCTTTTAAATTTCCTAATTAGTCTACTAATATCGTGTGCATCGTGAGCATCGTGAGCATTGTGAGCATCGTGAGCATCGTGATCATCGTGAGCATCGTGACTATCGTGAGCATCGTGACATCGTGGCAAAGTGACATTGTGAGCATCGTGACATCGTGACATCGTGAGCATCGTGACATTGTCAGCATCGTGACATCATGAGCATCGTGACATCGTGAGCATCGTGACATCGTGAGCATCGTGACATCGTTAGCATCGTGACATCGTGAGCATCGTGGCATCATGACATCGTGAGTATCGTGACATCGTGAGCATCGTGACTATCATGAGCATCGTGACATCGTGAGCATCGTGATTAAAGATGAGAAATGAATAAAATTCATAAACTAAAACATAGAAAGTGTACGTAGTATCAAATAACTTTCTTTAAATATACATAAACTGAAAATATTAATTAGTATTTTTTATACCAGTAATCTAGAAACTAGATTGTTCAATAAGATTTTATAAGCATTTTCAGACACATCGTGACTAGGCACAAACATCGTGTCTAGGAAACGATAAAGTAATACCGTTGCGCTTTTGCGCCGTGCGCGCTCTCACGCACTAGCGCACACGCGCTCTCGCGTTCCACGCAGTCGCACTCTCACGCATTAAACAATCTAGTTTCTAAATTACGGCTTGCGTCGTGCGTCGTTGCTGCGTTGCGCCGTTGCGTCGTTGCGCTGTTGCGATTTATTTTTTATTATCATATATGCGAAAACAGGGACTAGTAAGAGCATCGCCATGCAGCTAGGAGCATTGCCATGCAGCTAGGAGCATCGCCATGCAGCTAGGAGCATCGCAATGCAGCTCGGAGAATCGCCATGCAGCTAGGAGCATCGCCATGCAGCTCGGAGCATCGCCATGCAACTAGGAGCATTGCCATGCAGCTCGGAGCAGCATCGCCATGCAGCTAGGAGCATCGCCATGCAGCTAGGAGCATCGCCATGCAGCTAGGAGCATCGCCATGCAGCTAGGAGCACCGCCATGCAGCTAGGAGCATCGTCTTGCAGCTAGGAGCATCTCCATGCAGCTAGGAGCATCGCCATGCAGCTTGGAGTGTCGACTCACCTCACATCTCCACCCCTTGGTGTCTACTCGCATCACGTCACCCCAAAAAGTGTCGACTCACCTCACATCTCCACCCCATGGTGTCTACTCGCATCACATCACCCAAAAACGTGTCGACTCACCTCACATCTCCATCCCATGGTGTCTACTCACATCACATCACCCAAAAAAGTGTCGACTCACCTCACATCTCCACCCATGGTGTCTACTCACATCAAGTCACCTAAAAAGGTGTCGACTCACCTCACATCTCCACCCATGGTGTCTACTAGCATCACACCACCCGAAAAAGTGTCGACTCACCTCACATCTCCACCACATGGTGTCTACTCGCATCAAGTCACCTAAAAAAGTGTCGACTCACCTCACATCTCCGCCCCATGGTGTCTACTCGCATCAGGTCAACCTAAAAAGTGTCGACTCACCTCACATGTCCACCGCATGGTGTTTACTCACATCACGTCACCCAAAAAAGCATCGACTCACCTCACATCTCCACCCCATGGTGTCGCGCTCTCACGCACTCGCGCTCTCGCGCACACGCGCATTAGATATTTTTTTTTCTTATTTACGGTTTGCGCCGTGTGTCGTTGCTGTTAGAATCCAGAATAGAACGAGAATGAATGAAACTAGGTAGGAGGGGGATACAAGTAGGAAACCCTAACAAAGCTGTACCCCCTAAGGCTAAACCCACTATAGCCTACACAATATGAACATATAATGTTTGACACACCCCCATAGGCTAAGTGGGAGACAACCAGATGGTCACAAGACCAGTCAAAGCAAAGCAAAGCAAGCTCAGGGTGGATCTCAAGGAAACCACACAAATTCTGAGCACAAGCAAGTGGTCACAAGACCAGTTCACATGCAGGTTGATAGTATAACAAGAGATACAGTGATCACAACCTAGCAAGAGTAAACAAGCAGGTATATATATATAGATCACAGTACAAGCAGAGTCAAGAAGTAAGCAAGTGAGGCCCAGTAGGCACGAGGCCTAGAACAGTACAGAAGCGCTGATGGTCACAAGGCTGAAGCGCCTTGGTGAACACATCAGCAGTGTTGGCCCGAGTGGCCACGTAACGCAGACGAAGCTGACCGCGCTGCTGCAGCTCTCGAGCAAGGAACTAGCGCAGAGCGATATGCTTCGTTCTGTGCTCCAGTCTGTGCTCCTCACACAAGGCAATGGCAGCCTTGTTGTCGACGTACAGCACTGGAGGAGAACGAGGCCGCTCTCCCAAGTCGGTCAGCAGGTCGGTGAGCCAGCGTAACTCCTGTGCAGCCATGGCTGTGGCGTAGATCTCAGCCTCACAACTGGAGCTGAGAACAGAAGACGAGCGTGTAGAACGCCAAGAAACTGAACCAGAGCCAAGGCTGAAGGTGTAACCCTGAGACGACCGCTGAGTAGCCTGGTCGTCAGCCCAAGACGCGTCTGAGTGCCCAGTGAGTACAACTCGGTCTCGTCCTCCAAGCACTAGCCCCATGCCCGACGTACTGCACAAGTAGCGCAACACCCTCTTAGCGGCATCCATGTGCTCCTTCCGGTGACGGCCAGGAGCGACATAGCGTGCAAGGATGCTAAGAGGGTATGCAAGGTCAGGTCGAGTGCAGGTCATCAGGTACATGAGGCAGCCCACAAGCTCTGGATACGGGCCACTCGGCTCTACGGACTCATCCGAAGGCAGAGCTGAGAGCGAGTGACCGGTAGGCAGAGGAGTGGGCTGAGGCGAGGAGTACGTGAAGCGGAAGCGCTGAAGGACCTGCTGCACCATGTGTGACTGAGTCAAGGTGATGGTGCGCCGTGCTCTGTCCCGGGTGATCCGCAAGCCAAGACAGCTTGTCAGTTCACCCAGGTCTGTGCACGTGTGTCTCTTCTGCAGCTCCGACTTCACGTGGGCGAGTGCCGCAGTGTCTGCAGTGGCAAAGACCAAGTCGTTGACGTACACGAGGATGTAGAACGGCGGCAGCGAGGTGTCGGTGCGTAGAAACAGCGACGGGTCAGCAGTAGAAGGAGCGAACCCAAGAGCCGCAAGTGTAGTCCTCAGTGTGTCGTGCCACTCACGTGGCGCCTGTCGGAGACCGTAGACAGGCCGCCGGAGGCTCCACTGGGTACCAGGAGGGAACGACCCAGTGAAGCCAGGTGGGCGGCGCAGCCAGATCTCCTCGTGCAGGCTGCCCTGTAGAAAAGCAGTGCTGAAGTCAAGAGAGTGGAGCTCGTAGTCACG